TGTGTGTGTTGGTGTGTGTGTGTGTTGGTGTGTGTGTGTGTGTTGGTGTGTGTGTGTTGGTGTGTGTGTGTGTTGGTGTGTGTGTGTTGGTGTGTGTGTGTTGGTGTGTGTGTGTTGGTGTGTGTGTGTGTTGGTGTGTGTGTGTTGGTGTGTGTGTGTGTTGGTGTGTGTGTGTTGGTGTGTGTGTGTGTGTTGGTGTGTGTGTGTTGGTGTGTGTGTTGGTGTGTGTGTGTGTGTGTGTTGTGTGCCGTCGGAAAGCCGCGATCGTTCAGGCTGGAGCAGTCCCACGGGGTGTCAGAAGCGAGCCCGCCGTCATCACGACGTGAATTTGCCGCATCTAAGTTCAGAGTCGCATCGGCCCCAAACCCCAGACATCCGATGTCTTGGTTGCGGGGTCCTCGGAAGTCCCGACCCCTGAGCCGCTTCCTGAGCCGCTTCCTGACGGCCCCAGGCCTGGCGAGGGCCCCCGAAGGCCGAACACGGCGACAAACCGTCCAACCTTGATTTTCGTGAAGGCGTTGGGCGTCTTGAGGTCTAGCCCTCCCGGATGGGTTCCGAGCAGATGGGATCGGTGAACCGCGCCGCATTGCCGATGCACCAGGGATGCGGCGCGATGTGGAGCCCGTCTTCCTTGACGCTGGCGTCGCGGATGCATCGCAGACGCCGCCGATGCATGAGCGATGCGGCGCGATCCTCCGACCCCACCCGCTCGGATCCCATGTGGGAGGCCTCCATGAGGACCCGCGCAGCGCACGGGCGCGCACGCCACAGGGCGAGCGCGTGCAGCCCGAGGGCCGCATTGGCCCCAGTCAGCGGCAGCGCCCCAACAGCAGGGGCTGGCGGCCCCCGTCCTCCTGGGCCTCCCAGGTGAGGTCCGAGCAGGTGAGGTCGGAGGATCGCGCCGCATCGCCGATGCATTGGCGATTCGGATCGATGTGGAGACGGATCTTCTCCACATCGACGTCGCCGACGCATCGCCGACGTCGCCGATGCGGCACGATGCTCCAACCCCATCTGGGAGGTCGTCCTGGAAGCCTCCGGAACCGAGGCACCCAACGTCTTGAGAAGAAGCACGATGGATGCGGTCCGTTGTGTCCGGTCTCGCTGGGCCCCCGGACGAGAAGCCAGCGCTGGGCAGAAGAGGGTCGGGAGCTCGGGGGGCCCCCGCCGCACTGAAAAGATGGAGACAACAGATGTCCTGGGGTCTGCTGAGGTCCCTGGGCAGTCCTACCAGGCAGCTGGATGGCCATGACGTGGCCAGCTTCGGCGAGAGGTGGCTGCGCATGGCCCCGAGATCGGACGTCTCAAAAGGGCGGAAGCATCGTGAAGGGCCGAGGCTGGAGCCCTGGACCCCATCTTTCTGCATCACGTGCCAGGCCGGGGCCGCAACCGCACGCGAGCGCCCGCAGGTGCAGCCGAGTAGGCCGCCTGCGCGGGCGTCCGCATTCGCTCCCGCTCTGGACCACCCTTGGCTATCAGCGGGTCCTGGAGGCGTCTGACTGACTGGCTGAAGAAGCCGCGCCCGGACGGCGCATCGGCATTGACATATGTGAAACGAAGGCCAGGAAAAAGTTGGTAAATGGAAGTCTGAATGCAAGCGCGCCGGGATGCAGCCACTGTGCATGGACCTGTGCTGGGCGGCGAGTGGCATTGCACTCGGAAACAGGCGTTCCGAAAATGGCCCTGCCTTCGAGGATCGAAGGAGTTGTCATCTCTTCCTCGGCGCAAGGGCGGCGGAAGGGCGGCAGAAGGTCCACGGCCGGCGGAAGTAAAACGAGGCCGCCTCCGCCGGCTTCCGCCGGCGGAAGGCGGCGGAAGTAAAGGATGCGCCCCAACGAGATGAAAAAACATCTTTGGGTTCAGGGCTTCCGGAATCCGCCATCTATTATAGGGCCGACTTGGACGCCCAGATGTCTCGAGCCCCACCCCCCCGCCCGAGGTGACAGAGAAAGATCTGTGAGGGCACCAGGGCCCGAATCTGGGCGAAAGCGCCTGGCTCGATGAAAAGTCGAGACGCCTGGAGGACGCGTCATGGGGGGGGCGATAAAGGGGAAGGGGGGCAGTGAGGGCTGCCGAAAAGGGGCCCTTGAAGACCCCAAGGGAAGCCTTTCGGGCCCGAAAAGAACACCTTTCTTCCCCCCTAATTGGTCGTCCCCCCCAATACACGCCGGTCGTTGAAAGTAGGTATTTCTGGACTCCCAGCTCCCAATCTTTTTTAGCCGCCTTGCTACTTCAAAAGTGGAGTGGTGCTCCGATTCCCTCATCCTCAAGGGGCGGGCGGACACCCAATCTTTTTTCAATGTCTTCCTACTTGAATGATTCGACCTACTTCTTCCGACCGACGTGCAAGTCGGGCCCAGAAAGCGCCCGGCTCGCAACAGGTCTCCGGGGAGGTGGCAGGCTCGTGCAGCGCTCGGCCTCAGTCCGTGGCCGGGCGCGTGGGCATCCACAGCCGAGCGGTGGCGGAGCGTCCCGGCTTGCCAACAGGCCCACAAGCGCAGGTTCTAAGGTATTCTGGCGGTTTCCACGGAGAGTTCCTGGAGCATTTTTGGCTGAGAGCGTCGTGATGTGACACATCGGTTTCATGTTCTATGAGTTGTGTTTTGGTCATGAGAACATCCTTGTGCTCTCGGAACAGATCGCGGTAGGCCTGTAGGACTGCCAGCACGGTCGGTTCTTGCCCAGCACAGCAGCATGCTCTCGCACGCGTCAGTCTCGCCGTGCTGGCTCCGGGCTCTCTGGCGTAGGAGGCCCAGGAAGGCCAGAAGCGCCCAACGAAAAGCAGATCCTCGTCCCGCGAGGGGGGGAACCAGACTCGGCGGCGAGCGAGGGGTGGGGAAGTGAGAAGGAGGAGGCCTTGACAGAAGGTGGCGGGGCTTCTCAGAAGCCCTCTGGCCTTCTGAGAAGTGCTTTTTGTCTTCAGGGAACCTCTCAGAAGGCCAGAGGCCTTCCGAGCCTTCTGAGAAGGCCCGCCCCTGCTCACTTCTCCCGCGGGCGCGCCGCCGACAAACGGTGCGGTGACCGCACCGTGAGGTGAGCCAGTAGGATTCGGGATGGCCGCACGGTCTTGGGATTCGAGTCGTTCTCTGAGGACGTCCCGGGCGACTGGGACCTCCAGGGACTCAAAACCGTATGGGCACGGACCGTGCGGTGAGGTCGTTGGAGAATTCGATGGCACCGATGTCTTTGGGACGTTTTATGGCACCGCAAGGAGGTTTGTCACCGCACCCTTTTTTTGGTTGCCCAGGTGCTCCTGGCTCCCTACGCCCGAAGGCTTCGGTCCTCGATCCTCGGTCGGGCATGCATGGCCGGGGGGCGTCTCACTCCGCCGCCGACGTCTGCATCATCCCCATCCTCCCTTCCCCCCCATCTTCCGCAATTGCACAAAATGAATACTACTTTCCTCTGTCGCCTGACCATGCCTGGAGACTATCGCCTTCCCTCCCCCCCCCTGTGCACGCCGCCAAGCTCGATCCTCGGTACTCGATCCTCGATCCTCGGTCGGGCATGCATGGCCCGGGGTCGCCTCGCTCCGCCGCCGACGTCTGCATCATCGGCGCCGGGCTCGCGGGCACGAGCGCGGCCGCCGCCCTGGCCAGGGCCGGCGTCCCCTGCGTGCTGCTGGAGGCGTCCGGGCGCGTGGGCGGCCGCCTGCGGCAGGGCGAGTTCGCAGGCCACGCGGTGGAGGAGGGCGCCAACTGGGTGCAGGCCACCACGGTCGGCCACGCGCAGGAGGGGGGCAGGGAGAGGGGGGAAGGCTTCTTAGAAGCAGCCCCTCCTTCGGAGAAGCCTTCCCCGTATCCCCCTGCCCCCCCCTTGTGTGCACGCCGCCAAACTCGATCCTCGATCCTCGATCCTCGGTCAGGCATGCATGGCCCAGGGGCGCCTCTCTCCGCCGCCGACGTCTGCACCATCCCCATCCCGCCTTCCCCTAACATGAATACTACGTTGCTCTCTCCCCTGACCCTGCCAGGAGAGTGTTCTGTCCTCACAGGATGTCATTGTTTGTTTTTGCTTATTTGTTGTTTCAATCCGGTCGTTTCTGGTTCTTCCAAAATGGTGTTCCCGCTGCAGCGCCGCCCTCATTTCTGCGCTTCGGTCATTCGAAGTCGTGATCCCGCTGCAGCGCTGGCCTCGTTCCCGCGCCTCCAGACGGCACTTGGCATTCGAAAGCGCCCACATCGGGCAGGCATCGTTGCGGAGGACATTGAGCCGGCATTCCGGACAGGCCCTGTCTTCTCGTAGACGGGCCATTTACCCTTCAAATCATCCGGTGCCTTGCCACGGCATGCAATGCGATGCTGTGTTGTGCACCGCTGGGCGATGCCATGCTCTGCGTAATTATGCTGTGTGATGCAATGTATCACTACGCAATGCCACGCCATGCTATGGCATGCTATGCTCTGCCGTGCTCTTCTACGCCATGCTTTTCCATCCATCGCGTACCTTCTTGTGATCATTCCCCTGCTCGACATCCGACTTTGCGAATAGATAGGAGATCTACGCCATGGTAAGGGATGGGAGTGAGGGGTAGGACGTCAGATGTGAAGCTAGCGCACACAGCTTGCCATCCTCCCTTCTCCCCCGTCCTACCTATGGTAGGGGTGGTGGAGGATATCAGGGAAACGAAAATGACAACTCGGAATGTCCGCGCGGATTTCTCGGACCCGCGCTGGACCCCCCCTCCCTGGCGTGCGGAGCGCGCCAGGGGCGGCGCTGGAGGCGCCGCCAGGGGAGTCCAGCGCGGATCCGAGAAATCTGCGCGGACCTCCCAGTTTTCAGGTCATGTTTCGTTCCCGTAGACATGGCCCATGAAGGGGAGAAGGAGGAGGAGGAGGAGGAGGAGGAGAAGGAGGAGGTCTCTGAGCCCTTGGATATCCTGGGCGCCCGCGGAGGCGCGAAGTATCATCGGGCTGCGCTTCGTCGCGGTCTGGGCCAGAGCGGCTGCCCTCCTCCAAGGGGGAGCGGCGCGGGGGCATTGGGGGCGCGAAGCTGATGGAGCGGCTGCCCTTCTCCAATGGGGAGCGGCGCGGGGGCATTAGGGGCCAGAGCGGCTGCCCTTCTCCAATGGGGAGCGGCGCGGGGGCATTAGGGGCCAGAGCGGCTGCCCTTCTCCAATGGGGAGCGGCGCCGGGGGCATTAGGGGCGCGAAGCTGATGGAGCATCGCGGGGCGCGATGCGCGAAGTTAGCGTCGACACCGACAGCAAGGATGAACGGCTTTCCAGGGTCACCCCTGCATCCTCCCCCATTCGGCCCATCCGCGATCACTCTCAATGGCCGCGTTCCGCTCGAAAGGTGCCAGCATGGCCTTCCAAGGCCCTCTGCATCCTTGTCGTGCATCCTTATTATGCCAGTCTTGACTGGTAGGCGTCCAGATGCCGTAGACGGACTAACGGCGATGTAGGTAACGGCGACGTATGTTTCAGTATTGCAGGAATGCGTGGCCTACAATTCGCTGTGTCGTGTTCGCTCGATGTGGCACGTGATTTCCTACACGCTGGTTCCCAACATCACCATTAAGCAACATCGCCCTTAGCCCGGCCTTGGAGATGGATCTGGAACACATCGTCGCGAGTCGAGGGGCGGCAGAAGCCGCTGAGCCCTCAACCGTTTGCTTAGAAACTGGTTTTGGTGTAAGGGTCCGGCGATAACCCGGTTTATTGGGACCGCCCGCCCCCATCCCCCCTCCCCCCAGATACCCTGACCTTGTCGGTGGCGCAGGTCCGAAGGGGGTGTGAAGTGCTGGTGCGCGCGGGCATACGTGGGGCTGCCCGAAGCGAGGAAGTTACATTATCAGCCGTCACCTTCCCCACCAACCCCTCCACCGGATAACCTGGGCGATCGCCAAAAAGTGCAAACTCATCCAGCGCAGGGGCTCGAGGGCAACCCAGTCTGGGACCGCGCGAGGGCGCTGGGCCTGGCGGGGCGGGCGGACTTCCGGGCACAACAAAACACACACAACCACAACTAAGGGAATGTTTCTGCAGGGCCCCTCGGGGGAGAACCCACCGACCTCGACATGAGCACTTCGGCTGTGGCTGCGGTCGATTCGGTCGTCCTGGACGCCCGCGTCGACCACAACCAGCACTGAGTTGGTTTCGGGGTTCTGGCGATTGCTGGCAGGCGCAAGACATCCCCGAGGGCTTTTCCTCGATGTGGGGAAACCCCAAAAAAGGCACCGATCCCACTGCTCCCCCGGACCTCTCCCGGGGCGCGGCCTGACCAGCATCTCGCGGCGAGTCCCGCGGTGGCGACGAGGGCCACACGGGAGGCCCACGAGAAGTCGTGGGCACCCCCTCCTCCGGCGGTGTGGCTGTGGCCGCCTGCTGCCCCCGCAGGACTGCCAGGCGAGCCTCGCCGTGCGGGCGGGCGGCGAGGACCTCACGGCCGCGTTCCGGGGCCGGCGGGAGGCCTTCGCGAGCGCCCTGGAGGCCGTGGAGGAGGCGCCCCGTCCGCCAGCCGGGGCCGACCGCGACCTGGCCGCCGCGCTGCTCGAGGCTCGGAGGAAGAATAAGTACGCGAGGCCTCCCAGATGAGCGACGCAACACAAAAAAAAACTCCTCCTGCTCCTCCTCCTCCTGCTCCTCCTCCTCCTCCTCCTCCTCCTCCTCCTCCTCCTCCTCCTGCTCCGCCGCCTGCTCCTCCTCATCCTCCTCCTCCTCCTCCCTCTCCTCCTCCTCCTCCTCCTCCTCCTCCTCCTCCTCCTCCTCCTCCTCCTCCTCCTCCTCCTCCTCCTCCTCCTCCTCCTCGGGGTTCGTCTTCACCGACAATGGCGCGTTAGCTCGTCCAATAATTATCCTGCGGCGTACCCAACCCGTCGGCACCAAGGGATGATATAAGGTGTGCCGACTATAGTGCGACAGCAACACTGCAAGAGACGGTGCACGGTGGACATCTATATCGTGCAAAGTGGGCATGGACGATTCACAGAACGGAAGTGCAAAAGGCCAGGAGACATTGTATTGGGAAGGATACGCAACAGATATCGGGGTGGAACAACAATCACCTGGGCAGAAGCAGCGAGATGATGGAGCTTGATCAAGAGAAGGTTACATTGGCGGAAACGCTACTAGACAATGAAGTGTCGCGTTGCTTCATGCCGAAATGCTCGACACCTGCGCGGCCAGCGGTCCGCGTTGCTGCAGTGCCCTGGAACATAAAAAACAACAAAAAAAACTTCCGTTACTAGTGTAAGAAGCGGTCAGGGCTAAGCTCGCCTGCCAGCCTCTCCGCATCCTCCTTGCACCTATTAGTGCGAGCACCAAACGCGCGCAGGCGCGCCGCCAGCAACCTTCGAAAGTGGCGGCAGTTTCGTACTTCGCAGCCCACCCCAGGGATGGCGAGGTCCAGTTTGGGTCTGCGTGGGGCCCCATTGCTGGCCCCCCCAACAGCCCACGAAAGTGGCGACAGTTTCACACTTCGCAGGCCCCCCAGGGATGGCGAGGTTCCGTTTGGGTTTGCGTGGGACCCTATTGTGTTGGCCCCCATCGAAAGTGGCGACAGTTTCACATTTCGCAGGCCCCCAGGGATGGCGAGGTCCTGTTTGGGTTTGCGTGGGGCCCCACTGTGCTGGCCCCCCACCCAGCAGCCCACGAATGCGGCGACAGCCCCCAAGAGGGATGCGAGAGGAGAGGGCCGAGAGGAGAGCGGGGGGGGCGGGAGGAGAAGGAGAAGGGAGTCGGCACCCATCTGCTCTATTCAAAACGAGAGCCCGGAGGGTTGGGAAAAAGGGGTTCCCAGACATCCCTGGCGTCTCGAACAAATCGAGACAGGTTTTTCGTAGTTTTCCGGCTCTCGGGGCCATTTCCGGGCCTCGGGACCGTCAGAAGACGAGCAAGGACGAGAAATTGGTCCCAGGGACGTGGACGAGAGGCCGGGGGCCCGTGTCTCGAAAAATCGAGACACCAGATGTTTGGGTTCGTCTTCACTGACATTGGCGCGTAAGCTGCCGCGTAAGGTCGCGCGTAAGCGCCCTCGTCTCCAATGCGGCGTGTCGCGCTGGCGGCCCGCAGCTGCGGCGCAAGGTCGCTGTGCCATCTCGCGAAGACCCGTTTTTGATCGTCGTAGGTTCGGAGTAGATTCGGACGGTGCTAGGACGAGGATAAAAATCCGTTCCAGAGCGTTCCTGAACGTTCTCAGAGCTTTCTGGAACCTCCGAGAAGACCGCGGCGCCCGAGACATCCCCCAGAGCTGCCAGATCTCAGAGATTCTCGATTTATCCTTACCCACACTTGTCCTCGTTCTGGCTTCGTCTTAGATCGCGCCGCATCGCCGATGCATCGGCGTTGCGGCTCGATGTGGAGCCCGATGTTCTCCACGCCGACGGCGCCGATGCATCGCCGACGTAGAGATGTATCGCCGATGCATCGCCGACGTATCGTTGTTGCGGCGCCCCTCCGACCCCATCTACCGCTGGTCGTCCTGGAGTTCTTGTCGACACGGCTGGATTATCCTCGAAGCTCTGGTCAGGGCGCACCCAAGCAGACGTTTGCGGAGTAGCGGCATCGGGGCCTTGTCGTTCTCTTGGAGGCAGGGTGGTGCGCGGAGGGGCCCGTGGACGACGCCGTGGAGTTTTTCCAGGTGGACTTCGAGTACGGAGAGGAGCCGTGCCTGGCCTCGGTGCACCACAACGTCCACGAAGAGTTCACGGCGGCGGACTTCGGGGAGGGCAGCTTCTTCGTCAACGACACGCGCGGGTTCGCCGCCATCTGCCCCGAGCTGGGTCCGGGCGTGGAGTGCCACTTCGGATGCGAGGTGGTGAAGGTCAGCCGCAGAGCTCGCGACCCTAGCACAACCGAGGTGGTCTGCCGCAATGGGCGGTCGTTCTGTGCCAGGGTTGTCATATGCACAGCCAGCGTGGGCGTGCTCAACGCTGGCAGCATTGAGTTCGACCCCCCCATCGGCGAGAGGAAGAAGGAGGCCATCGCCAGCATCCGCATGTGCAGCTATACCCGAAGAGCACAAACAACTGCGCAGACACCATTTTTTCGGAGGTCCGCTCGGACTTCTCGGGCTGGCGCCAGCGCTGGATCCCCTTCCCCAAGCGCAAATGACAGCGGCAACGTTGTGGGGTGATAGGCTCAGGGGGGAACGCATCGACCCCCCAATGGTCCATTCATCGCCGATAGGGGCCCGAATAGCCCACCCCGCCCGGGAATGTGCGGGTTCGCTACGGGGTGCCTATCGCCGATCTATCGGTGATCCATCGCCGATTCCAGGTCGGTGCTTCCCCCCTTGAGCAAGTCCCTCTCCCCTAACGTTGCCCGCCAGTCCCGCGCCGACCCAAGAGATCCGCACGAAAGTCCGAAAGTGTGTGTCTGTGGCGGCTTGGGTTCTTCTGCATACCAAGGTCTTCGTCGAGCTGGAGAGGCCCTTCTGGGGAGAGGACTGTCGGCCTGCAGAAAGGGGGTGGCACGAGGGGGGCGGCCGTCTGACCAGGCGGGGGTGGCTCCGAACAGTCGGTGGGGCGAAGACGGGTACGGTCGAGTGCTCCGAATTGCACCGGGGGGCCTGATTTGAGCTGTCCTGGAGGGCTCCGCGGAGTCTGGGCAAAAGGCCGCCCTTTCATGGCCAGTCTGGGGGGACCTCGGGCTGCTCGACTTGGAGGGTTGTGACCCCCTCCCTTTATTGCGATGTCTGGAGTATCTGATTAGGGAACCTCTTCCCGGAAAGCTGGGCCAGCGTCTCCTGGCCGATCTGCCGGAACGCTGGCCCAGTTTCTTGAGCACGTTCGCCCCCTCCAGTGTCAGCAGCAGCAGTCGTCCCATGCTTGTTTGAATAAGCTTCCCATGATGCTGGCCCAGATGTCTTGAACTATAATATATTTATTGATCACATGTTCGGCTGTATTTAGGCGCGCGGATTAATGACGGTCCCGCTTCCATGCGAAATCGACGCACTTCGTCGCCACATCAGGCGTCACTGCCTGCAAGTTTCTGATTATCTTCCAGATCCACCCACGGATCCGCAATCCGTGGGCGGATCCGAAACCAGGCACGGCGCTTCTCGGCTTCTCGGAAGCACCCCCGTCTTCTAAAAGCGTCCTCCGTAGACGGCTTCCAAGCAGCACTCTTGGAAGCCCTAGCGCCTCCTAGGAAGGCCCCTGACTGCTGAGAGGCCCACCGCCTTCTTAGAAGGTCTCCCCTCGCGCCACCCCAGACATCTGATGTCTTGACCTTTCCATATACTTGTCAGCACGCATCCGATGTAAGTCGTATATGAAACTAGCAGGTGCGTTGCCGGATCCCGACTCGGGCGGGCGGCGTTGCATTGCTTTGTTTCCAGTTTCCTCCCGTGGCCTACCATTGCCGTCCCTGTCTCTTTCCTTATTTCCTGCCCGTTATATCCTCACCATTGAATATGTATATATCTATAGCGAGAGAGAGAGAGAGAAAGAGAAAGAGATATTCCTCCTTTTTCCTATACCCTATGCTCCTACCCCTTTAGCCCTAGCCCAATATCCCTAGTCCTACCCCGATCCCTACCCCGATCCCCCCATCGTGGCACCATGTCGTGGCCCCCATCGTAAGTGTGTGAAGCTGTTTAGGGTCTTCTGCCGCATGGGTATCATTTCGAAACCAGTTCTGGAAATCCACACCTCGGCCCCATGGCCGGCTTTTCATCCTGAGTCGTCTCTTGGCGGCCCCCCTTTTGTGGAGAGCGAAGGTGGCGAAAAGCCTTCGCCCTGATGTTTCGAAGACGTGGGATGTCTGGGTGTGCCCGCCGCCAGGAGGAGGACTACTCGATCTGGGCCGGGCCGCGCAGGGGGCACTTCGCGGTGTGGCAGCCGCTGCGGGGCCCCCCTGGAGCAGCAGCGGAGCGCCACGTCGCCATTGTCACCGCGACCGGATGGCGCGGAGGGGCGGTGTCCAGGCAGAGGGGGGCGGTCCAGCAAGGGGGCTGGACGAGTTCGAGCTTCGAAGCTCGAGGATCGTGTCTTGTTGGGCCTCGCCAGAGCTTCCTCTCGCCACGGCCGGATTCGCTTCGGGATTCCGGTCAGAACGCACCCCAGGAGAGGTCTGGGAGTCGAGTTTCGAACCCCAGAACCCCAACCCAACGCCTCGACAAAAATTGGGGCCGGCCCTCGCGGGGCCCCAGGATCGTTAAAAGCGGCCCGGCATGAAATGTCAGCCTTGGGGAAACCGTTGGGACTTCCAGGGACCCCGTATTGAAAAACCAAAACATCGGACGTCTGTCGGGTCAATCGGAGGGGACGAAAGGAAGGGGGCGCGGGGAAGGGGGCTACGAAATCTGCTGCATGCGGCTGGTTTGGGCCACACCGCTGGGCACACTCCTCGTGTGTCGCCGCCGCTGGCGCCTGGAGGCGCCAGGCAACCCAGGTGCATGCAGAAAAATTCGACCATCCCTCCTTGTCTGATCCCCGTGTTTGTCTCATCCCCCCGTTCTTAGAGGGAGGGGAGGCTCAACCTTGGAGATGCTACACGGCTTTCCCATGGACGGGAGAGTCCCCCTCAGAATGCTCCTGGGCTTTCCCTCCCCCAGACCCTGGCTGGGCTAGGCCAGAGCTACGGCGCAGCACGTGTTGCGCGCCATCACACAAGATCGATAGTCTCGCCACCTCTGCGTCAGACCTGTTTTTGTCTCTCGTGGTGTGCAGTTGTTGCTGCGATTCTTCGATGTGTTGTTGATGATCGGCGGCGAGCCCAGGGAGGAACTGAGAGGGGCGGGCCGTCTCGAAAGGCTCGGAAGTCCTCGAGCCGTCTGAGAGGTTTCCTGAGCCTTCCCCGAATACACAGAACTTTCCAGAAAGCCGGAGGTTTTCTGATAAGCCCCACCGCATTTTGTGAAGGCTCCTTCTCGTTTTGCCCCCATGCTCGCCGCCGATATAAGGTGAGGTGGCGAAGGAGTGTCTGCGTGTATCTGATTTGGAGGTGGCGTGCAACTGAGCTGTGCCTCACGTCGTGTCGAGCATCTGTCCAAGACATGTGGCTCGGGCGCTGCTTCGAGCCAGATTATAGTGGCGATGAGAAGTGTGGACCGTGTACACTCAGACCTGGTAGAAGACCAGGCGGGAAGAAGGCAAGATGCCCAGCTGGGGTACTGGTGCCGCTCCATCGGAGCTGCCTCGGAAGCAGTGGTTCAACGCATATTTTCGGGAGCCTTGAGACGGGGTCACTGCAAACGGGAGTCAGCCAGGGCGCCAGATCTTGCAGAATCCTGCAGAGCCAGGGTAGCATTGACCCGGGTTTGGGCGCATGATCCTGCAGGATCTTGCAAGGCCTGACTGACCCAGGCCTGGACTGACCTGGGTCAGAAGATCCCCGACATACGTGATTTGCTCTCTTGGTGGTCTCGGCCCACACATTCTTGCCAAGCACCGCCGTCGTGACGCTCTGCTGTACAGTGCTGTGGCCACCAGGGGTGTGAGTTCTAGGCTTACGGCCCCCGGTGGTCGCCGAAGGGCCTCCAGAAGCCGTCGGCGGCACCTCGATGGCTTCCGAGGTCTTGCGACGGCCTCCGAAGGCATCCAGAGGCATCCGACGTCGTGATTTGTTGTCATGCGGGGTCCTCAAATGCCTGGACCCCTTGCTTGGGACTGGCTGTTCACGCCGAGTCGTTTGTTGACGGTCCCAGGGGCCTGGTAAGGGGCCTCCGAGCGCCCCGCATCTTTCCCAGGCCCCTCTGCAGCACTGAACCCCTCCGCGGAGACGAGGCCGCATTGAGACCGCCATCTTGTGCGGAGCTCAGCGCCCTGGAGCGAACGGGTCTCGACGACGCATCTCCAAACGCACCCCGCTGATACGGTGGGCCGCCACGACAGCGACCAGCTTGAAGCTCCGCGCTCAGAGGGCTCTAAAGTAGAGCCGCTCCCCCCGTCGTGGAGTTCACCAGCTATACGCCTACACCAGTCCTGGCCAGGCCCATCCTCGGCCTGGGGTCGGTGCACACGCCCTCCTGACCGAGGCAGGAGGGCGCGCACACCGATCCTGGGCCCAGGATCGGCCTGGCCAGGATCGGCGTAGCAAAACATAGTCTTAATGGTTGCATGCATGCATGCATGTGTGTGTGTATGTGTGTATGTGTGTATGTGTGTAGGTAGATGGGTCGGTAGATAGGTTGGTATGTAGGTAGGTATGCACGCATACATTTGTTTGTATGTGTGTATGCGTATATGTGTGTGTATGTATATGCGTGTATACATGACTGTGCGCATGCACGTATGTATGTGTAAATGTATGTGTGTATGTATGCATGCATGCATGCATGCATGCATGCATGCATGAATGCATGCATGCATGGATGTGTGTATGTATGTATGTATGTATGTATGTATGCATGCATGTATGTATGTATGTATGTATGTATGTATGTATGTATGTGTGTATGCATGTATGTATGTATGGATGTATGTATGTATATGTGTATGTATGTATGGATGTATGTGTGTATGTATGTGTGTATGCATGTATGCATGTATGTATGTGTGTGTGTGCGTATATGTGAATGCCTCTATTCGTGCACGCATACGTGTATGCGTGTATGTATGTATGTTTGTATGTATGTAGATGCGTGTGTATGCATGCTATGTATGTATGTATGTATGTATGTATGTGTGTGTGTATGTATGTATGTATGTATGTATGTATGTTTGTATGTATGTATGTATGTATGTATGTATGTATGTATGTATGTATGTATGTATGTATGTATGTATACGTGTATGTATGTATGTATGCATGCATGCATGCATGCATGCATGCATGCATGGATGGATGGATGGATGGATGGATGGATGTATGTTTGTATGTATGTGTGTATGTGTGTATGTATGTATGTTTGTATGTATGTATGTAAGTAAGTAAGTATGTATGTAGGTTGTATGTGTGCATGTATGTGTGTATGTGTGTGATGTATACATGTACGTATGGACGTGTATGCATGTGTGCATGTATGTATGTATACATGTATGTATCGATGTGGGCATGTAGATATCTATACATATGTATACCGAGCGGGCGCCGTCAGTGAGGTAACCACACCGTGTGGTGCGTCCGTAGGGATTCGGGGTGACCGAACGAGTTTGAGACTTTGGTTGCTCTGCGAGCATGTCTCGGGCAATTGGGGCCCCCAGGGCCCCAAAACCGGGCGGCGACGGACCCAGACATCCTGGCGTCTCGAAAAAATCAAGACGAAGGTTTTCCATAGTTGTCGGCCTCTCGTGTCCCTTACCAGGCCTCGAAGCTGGTCCCGAGGAAGTGGTCGAGAGGTCGGGGGCACGCGTCTCGGAAAAATCGGGACTCCAGATGTCTGGGGATTGTGCGGTGATGTCCCAGGGGATTTCGAGGTCACCGCAGGGTCCGTCACCGCAGCGTTTTGGGACCCCCAAACATAGAGAGTTGGCGCCCTCCAACAAAATCCTGGGCCCGTATACCCAGAGATCCGATGTCTCAACGTTTGTCAACGCGGGGCCCTCAGAAGCCCAGACCCTCCCCCTTCCGGGGGCCGACTTTGCACCTCGAGTCGGTCTTCCCGCGGCCCCAGGGCCCAGCGAGAGAGCCCCCAGGGGCCGAAGACGGTGAGAAATGCCCGTCTGGCCGAAGGAGCTGATACGCTGGAGGTCTGGGTTACGGTGGAAACCCATGCCAAGAAACACCCTGCTTGCCTCCAGGGTGTCCTGGGCTTCGATGGTCCTGCGATGGAAAGCGTGACATGACGTTCCCACACCAAAAGCCCAAGCACGTCCTGGGGTCTCAGGGTTGGGTTTCTTGTGGAAGGCTTCTTGTGGTCGAGCTCCTGCTGTATTTCGCGTCTTCCCGCCACCCTCCCTGAGATCCGACGTGTCCAAAAAAAATGAGACACCGTGGAAAATCACGACTGGAGCTCCGGGCCCCATGTCTCTGCGCCATGTTTCGAGCTGCATCCGTCTGCGAGGGTCCCGGGGCCCGAAACTGGGCGAAAACGTCCCGCTCGAAAAGACTGCGTCGCCAGGATCTCAGGCCCCCCCACCCCCGCAGCACTGGACCCCCCGCCGCGGAGACGAGGGCCGCCGGCTCGAGGAACTCGCCGAGGCGGAGGTGCTGGCCGAGGCCGCGGCGGCGCTGCGGGGCATGTGCGGGGACGGGGCGCCCCGCCCGCTGGCGGCGCGGGTGTGCCGGTGGAGCTCGGACCCGCTGTGCCCAGCTGCGCGCAAGAGGGGCTTTTCGAGGGAGCGACCTCCCCAGGGATCCGGGCGGTGCAGTCCCGGACATCCTGGCGTTTCGAAGAAATCGAGACGGAGGTTTTCACTGTGCTTCGCCTCCCGCGGGGCCCTTACCAGTCCCTGGAAGTGTCGTCTTCGATCGTACCCACATAATATATTCCTTACCTTCCGCGTGCATGTAGCGCAGCCCCTAAATCAAGGGAGGAGAGGACGGATGGAAGGGGGAGGGAGAACGAGCACGACTGAAATCAGCAGGAGGGGGCTAGGAGCAGAAAACACGTAGCAGAACCAGACTGGCAGATCGGGCGTGCAGACCCTAGCAGGCGGGTCGGGAAGGCAGGCCCAGGCGGCCAGGTCGAGCAGGCGGATTGCTGAAGCGTGAGTCTTGCATGAATCGCGAGGAAGTCTCGAGCGATAGCGCGCTTCTTGTTAGTATAAAAAACGAGAGCGTGATTCCTGAGTGTGCCGGGCGCGGCGCACGAATACATCGCAAGGGAATCCCACGCGAGAGTTCGATTCTTGTATGAGTTGTGAGTAAGTCCCGCACGAGATGATGATGTTGGAACACATTGTGACGACGTATCAGGCAGGAGCCGTTGTTGTTGTTCTAGTTCGGGGTCCAACAACGCAGGATGGCGAAACCAAGTTTTCCCTGATGAAAGCAGGGTGCAAGCCCCGGGAGGAGCACTTGACATGTACAGTGGTCACCCGAGGGGGGATCAACAATATTGATTCTCCGGACAGCAGAATTCAACAACAAAACGTCGGATTTTTGTTCGCCGTCTTCGGCTTCCGTAGGCTCCCGACGGGCCCCGGGACCTGCAAAAAACGACATGGGATGGAAAGCCGGCCGTGGGGAAAGGATCGTAATTTCACGAGAACCCCGTCCCGTATGCAAAAATCAAGACTTCGGATGTTCGGGCTTGGTGCGGGCCCACGAGGGGTCCACCAGCACTGGCCTGCGCGTTTGGGTCTGCCTGCCCCCCCCCCCCCCGCGGCCCCCTGAAGCCGCGCGCCACACACTCCTCTCCAAGGGCCGCTCGTGCGTGTAGCCGGTCTTCCGCGGCGCGTACTCGTTCCTGCCGGCCGGCGCCCTGCTGGGGGGCCCAGGAGTGGGCTTTGAGGAGCGATCGGTATCATCGAAGCGGGGACAGCAAGAACCCAGACATCCGGCGTCTCGATTTTTTTCGAGACACGGGCCTTTCGACCACTTCCCCGAGACCGGCTTCTCGTCCCGAGTCGTTTTTTGACGGTCCCGAGGCCTGGTAAGGGCTCCGAGAGGTCGAGAACGATGAAAAACCTTTGTCTCGATGTTTCTGAGACGCCAGGATGTCTGGGAACGGGAACGAAGAGCGACATCAGTTCCTTTGTATTTTGAGCCGGGTTCGTTGCCAGCGCTGCGTCGGACGATGTGTTCTTTTGGGACAGGCGTCGCCTGCCCTACGGTTGCCGCTGTCTACCAATTTAGGACAACACTTGTTGTTGATGGGCATCGCACCCATGTTTCCCGTCCCCATGTTCGGGCGCATGTGCCAAATATGGGACGAACAACATAGTTCGTGGACCGCTGTTCAATTCCTGTTGCAGCAACTGCGGAGCGGAGACAGCACTAGGGAAAACGAAAATGAAAGGAACACGAAACCACAGAATAGCTCGAGCCTAGGTGAAACTGCTCGAGCATGGACTGTCGGAAGTCCGGGCGGATTGCTCGGGTCGGCGTTGGGCCCCCTTCTCCCCGCGTCCCCTGCGGCAGCTCGGGCACCGCCGCCGGCCTGGGGGAGGAGGGCCCAGCGCCCGAAGAGATCCGCGCGGGCCTCCGAATGATCATGCTCGGCGGCGAGCGAGGGGGGGGGGGAGGTGAGAAGAGCAAGGCCTTCTCAGAAGGCGGCGGGACTTCTCGGAAGCCCTCGCGCCTGCTGAGAAGTTTCCCGCGTCTTTGGGCAAGGCTCCTGCCACCTCTCGGCAGGCCGGGGGACTTCCGAGTCTTCTGTGAGAAGGCTCGCCGCTCCTCGCTTCCCTTCCGGACTCACCGCCGACATGCCCACGTCGTTGTCAAGTCGGGAGCGGCCAAGAGGGGGGTGACGAATAGGGGGGGGGAGGATATCACGGCGGGGGCCGCGGTACTTCCCCAAATTTCATGGCGCCTCCTCTTATTTCAATACGTCCCCGCCCCCCCCCCCCCCCCCTATGGGCCGCGCACGTGCCGCTGGCCACGATTTGCTCCCCCCCCTCTCGAACGCCCCCCTCTTGGGCCGCCCCCGATCGAGCTCTCCAGAGGACCTCCTGCGCCCCGAGGGGGCGGTGCTCTTCGCCGGGGAGGCAGCGCGGACCCCCGAAGGTCCCGACCCCGTTCTCCGGAGGCCGGCCTTCCGTCCTCTGAGGCGCCTCTTTTGGCGACCCGGGGCCCGCTGGGGGGCCCCCTGCGTGGCCGAGAAAGACCAACGACCCTCCGTCGGCGATTGTCCTCACAACGGGAGGGAGGCCACGTCGGGCGAGAGGGGAGGGGGGGGATAGTGAGGAAGCGGGGGGGGGGTAATTGCAAGGCCTACTGCGTGCAGCCAGTTCCGGCCCCGCCGCCGAGCGCCTGCCTCGATACATCGACGTTTCCGACGCCAGGAGCCGCGGGAAGAAGCAGCTGCGTGCAGCGCAGATGATTCGTTAACTCCCTCCCCCCCCGCAGCTGTCTCCCGCCCAGACATCCGACGTCTCCACTTGTTCCATACAGGCTCCCCGAACGCCCCGACCCTTTCTTTCTCCACAGGGCTGGCTTTTCACCGCGTTTGACTTCTCCACACCCTGATACCCGATCATTTTTTTATATGTGGGGTCACGGGAAGTCCCGACCCTTTCCCCAGGGCCGGCGCTTCATCGTGAGTTATTGTCTGGCCCCTGGGGCCCAGCCAAGGCCCCGAGAGGCCGAACATGATGGAAGACCTCAGCCTTCGTTCTTGTCCACGCGTTGGATGTCCGGGGACGTCGGATCTCTGGGCCCCCTACGCCCATCAGGATGGGAAAATAGGCACAAGCACAAAAGAACGCTCTTTGTTTTGGAATTATTGGAACGTATGGTCATTTGCGGGGGAGGGGAGATCCCCTTTGAATCTCACAAAACTCTGGAACTCCTGTAATGTTTCTCGGATTTTGTATGCCTTCCTGGGCCCCTTTGGGAGGACGACCAGTGCATATTGAACGATTTCTCCCGCGAAGGGTGCAAGCAGAAGGAACGCTATTCTGGATAAATTCGTCCGGGTGAACTTGTCTGCGGATGATCGCGTCGTTGGGCGACCTCGTCTTCGGATGAATTCGTCTGGAAGAAGTTGTCCTGACAAACCCGTCTGGATAATCTCGTCTCGGCCGAATTCTGGATGACACGGCTGAGGATGAAACAGTAGGCTTCCGTCTAGCTCAGAAAGACAATTATCGCGTTGGGAGAATGAGGCTGGGAGAAATGATCAGGTCGTCCGAACTACCGCGTATGTTGAACGTATTTAGTACACAGTCGTGCCCTGTATCTTGCCAACCCCTCCTCCCAGCACGATACACGCTGGTCGTTGACACAGCATATACTTCTGGATGCCCAGATCCCAATCTTCGTTTAGCCGCCCTCCTACTTCAACCATCGAGTGGTTTCTCCCTTGTCCTTGCCTCTTCAGGGGGCGGGCGGAAGCCCAATCTACTTCCAGCGTCTTCCTGTTTCATGTTTCAACCCAACTCTGCCCGACAGGGGTAGTGCGTGGCGGCCCACCTCCCCTTTTAGGTGTATTCGACTAAGCCGGGCACCGCCTCTCGAGGCGTTGGGCGCCGCCACGCGGCGCCACGATCGCTCAACGTGCGCGTCGCCTCCCACCCCCCCCCCCCGCCAAGAAAATTAGCCCGGCGAAGGACCCAACCATATGCAGTTGTGAGTACCTGTGGGGCCACGAAACGCGTGAGGGGTGTGCGTGACGCATGCGGGCGGTGGCACTATGGGATCTTCGGTGGAGCTCCCCATAGGGCCACGAAGCGTGTGACGAGGCGTGTGCTGCAGTGGGTGTGCGTGACGCATGCGGGCGGTGGCACTGGCGCCTTCGGTGGAGCTGCCTGTGGGGCCACGAAACATATGAGGGGTGTGCCGACATGGGTGTGCGTGACGCATGCGGGCGGTGGAGGGGTGGGCGAAGAGGAGGAGTGAGTGACGCGGGGCGCTGTCTCTTCAAAACGAGGACCCAATACCACAGGATGGTTGGGAAAACATATTTGCTCTATCTCATCAGCCCGTCCCGATCGATCGGCGGCGAGCGAGAGGGGGAAGTGAAATGGGGCGGACCTTCTCTGAAGGCTCGGGAGTCCCCCAGCCTTCTGAGAAGTTTCCTAAGCCTTCCCCGAAGACAAATACAACTTTCAGAAAGCACGAGGGCTTCTGAGAAGTCCCGCCGCCTTTTGAGAAGGCCTTGTCCTTCTAACTTCCCCCCCTCGCTCGCCGCCGAACATGATCTTTAGGAGGCCCGCGCGGATCTCTTCGGGCGCAGGGCCCTCCTCCCCCAGGCCGGCGACGGTGCCGGAGGTGCCGCAGGGGACGCGGGGAGAGGAGGCCCAACGCCGACCCGAAAAGTCCGCGCGGACCTCCGACAATCCATGCTCGTGCAATTTTTCCATCTCTCCGCCCACCTCCATCCCCTTACCCCCCCCCCTTCGCCCACCGCCGAACCGAGGCCTTCCACGAGCGCTATTCGGGCTACGCGCATGGCGCCTTGGCCTCGGGGCTCCGTGCGGCCTCCGCGGCGGCCGCCCTGCTCGGCGCCGGCGCCAGCCCGCCCTCGTGAGCGGCGCCCCCTCGGCGGCGTGAGCGGGCGCCCCCGCCGCGAGGCGCAGCCGCCGCGCGGTGCGCGCGGCGCGCACGCTGCTCGCGCAGCGGCGTGCTGCCGGTTCACGCCTGGGGGGCGCGCAGCCGCCCGAAGCGCTGCGTCGGCGGCGCGCCCGGGAGGGAGGGGGGGGGGGAGTCTCGGAGGCCTGGAAATTGGCACCAACACCAAGACAGAGGGTTGCCTCCACAGGGGGAAGATGATCCTAGATTTTCGGTGTTGGTGGTAATAGTTCGGCCACCTTGGAAGCCAGAATATTACCATCATCACCGACATCGGGACCTTCTTCCCTCGGTGGAGGCACACCGCCGAAATTGGTGTTGGTGTCAATCTCTAGGCCTGCGAGAGTCAGAGGGGAGAGGGGCGAGAGGTACCCATCCCGCGACCCTTTCCTCGCGTTCTCCTTCTTAGGCCTCTCGGGAGGCCCGTTTCGCCACCGTTGGATTGGCCCCGACATGCTGGCTTGAACGCACTCCGGGAGAGGTCTGGGGAGTAGCGGTATCGGTGCCCTCCGGTGTTCCCAGAGAGAGGGCGGGCCTCCCCAGAAGGTTCAGAATCTGTTATGTCGTCGCAGGATCGCGCCGCATCGCCATGCATCGCCGATGGCGCGCGATGTGGAGCCCGAGTTTCTTCGCGATGGTGTCGCCGATGCACCGCCGACGTATAGATGCATCGGCGATGCGGCGCGATCCTCCGACCCCATCTAGTGGGACCTCATCTAGGAGGCTTCCATAGAAGACACCCGCCCTTCGAGGAGGCTCTCCATGCAGGCCTTCTCCGAGACCGCGGAGGGTTCCCCAGAAGGCCTGAAGGCGCCCGAGGAGCCCCGCCGCCTTGCGAGAAGACCTGCCCCCTCTCGCTTCCCCCCTCGTCGCGCGGGCAGCTGCGGCAGGGCCAGCCGCGGCTGGTGAGCAAGCCTCGGGGCCTCAGAGATTGCGCGGAAAAAACCCTGGCCTCCTCCTCCTCCTCCTCCTCCTCCTCGGACGGCTTTGGGGGGGGCAGCTTTCGGCCTCCAGGGACGCAGGCCTCGCTGGGCCCCCAGGGCCGCGGGCCGCGGGAGCGCCAGGAAACGGCGCGGGGCGAGAGATGTAGCCATGGGGAGAGGGTCGGGATCTCCGTGGAGCCCGCCAGGGACAAGTCAAGACATCACGTGGTCGGGACTGGGCCAGCTGCGGCCCGTGGGCCAGAGGCGGCAGTGGGGGCAGGGGAGGGAAGGGCCGGAGCGGGGAGGGAGAGGTGCCCGTGTAGTGTCGGACGAGAGGGGGAGGGGCGAGCAGGAGGGGGATCGGCGCCGCGTTGCCGTCTGTAGTGCTCAAGCACGGCACGAGTAGTGTTACGGCCTATCTTCGTACTCCCATGGCGAGGCTTGTAGGCCGCAGGGGGCCTTTCTACAGCAACAGCGGCATGCACCAGGAATTGGCATCACTTGGAGCATGCTATTTGGCTTAAGCGAAGTGAGGAACTGTGAGAGTGATATGCGCGCTGGGGCGGGCACACGCGTAATTCGCGTATATGTGCTTTCTTCCAGCTCTGCCACCCCATTTTCCTATCCCGCTCATTGCCCGTTACCCCTCTGTCGCTATCCTTTTTTTTTGTTTCTCTCTCTCTCTCTCTCGTTCTCTCGCTCTCTGTCTTCCCCCCTTTCTTGGCCTTCGGCATCTCCCGCCACCGTGTGCCTGGGTCGTGGACCAGAGGCCCTTTTAGAGCCTCGTGGGGGCCTGCCGGGGGCCTCGCGGGGTCCGCTCCGATCCGATCGATCCAGTTCAGTGGCGAGTCTGGCTGGCCCGATCCGAGTGCGTCTTCCGCAGGTCCGCCGCGGGCCCTGGCACCGTCAAGAGACGACGGTCCGCCGCGGGCCGCGATGGAGAGCTGGTCGCGGGGCGAGGCCCCCCGGGGTCCAGGGCCCGTGTCCTCGAGGCGGGGATTTATGCAGGACCACCGCCTGTGGAGGATCGATTCTCGCGGACCTCAGTAGGCGGTGGATATGGATACCCCCGGGGGGCCTCCGTACACATGTGTACATATGTATATATATATATATATATATAGGTGTAAAGCCCTTCGGGTGATAAGGAGGTTGGCGGGGGGAGAAAGAACCAACCGTCGGTCTCACGATCGATCTCACGATCGGTCTCACCATCGGTGTCGCCATGGGACTTCACATGACACCGACGGGAGATCCGCGGGACACCGACAGGACACAACGGGACACCATCGGGACACCATCGGGCCATCGGGGCACCAATCAATTTTCTGTTCGATCCCACTATCGATCTCACTATTGATCTCACGACGGGACAGCGATGGGACAGGCACGGACCACCAACGGGACACCGACGGGACACCACGGTGGGAAAACTCGGCCACCGCCGGGGGAGTCGGACAGCGACGGGACACCACGGAGGGACAACCCGGCCACCGCCCGCCCACTGGGGAGGGAGGAGGGGCGGTCAACGGTTATTGACCCGCACTAGCCACAGCGGAGTCATTCCTCTCGTCCGCCCTCGCATCCTCGCCTCGCCCGCACGCACGACACAAACCCGGAACCGACATCGATTTCACGGTAGGGGGGTGTCCATTCCATTTCTATCTCCCCCCACACTTCAGATATCTATGTATATATAAATGTGGGCATATGTCGATCTGCATGTGTGTACACATGTACGCATTAACATAGACATACATATACATATGAATATACATGTTCACCGACATAACATTGAATACATGCATATACATACACATGCATATATACATGTGTAAAACATATACACATGCACATACATGTAAATATACATGTACATAGGCACACCGACAGACGGACAGACAGAGACACAGACAGACAGACAGACCGACAGACACACATACAGAGATACAGACATACAGATATACACATATCAAGATCCACCGCCCGCAGCGTTCCCAGGACGTCGAGTCCCAGGCGGTGGATATGGGTAAAACCTTGCCTCGCAGCGTCCTTCCTGGCAAGGTTGCGTGCGGGCCTCCTCTTTCGCGCCGGTCATACGTCCGTACAATTACCGCGTGCCACGCACACACACACATACATACATACAGATAGACATACAACCATACATACAGATACAGACAGACAGACAGGCAGAGAGACAGACAGACAGACAGACAGACGTACACTCATGCATACATACATACGTACAGACATGCATACATGCACACACATACATATACATGCATAAATACACAAACGTACATACGTACACACATGCATACATGCATTTATACACATACATACGTACGTACATAGCTACATCCATGCATACATACATGCAGACATAAATACATTCATCCGTTCCTGCATACATACATACATACGCACGTACGCACATACATACAAACATACATACGGACACACTGTCATCATGCATGCACGCATACATACATACAGACATGCATGCATGCATGCATACGTACATACGTACATACATACACATACATACACACGTGACTTGTGCATGCATGCATGCATGCATACATGTAGGCCTACCTACTTACACACCTACCTACCGACCTACCGACCGCTCGACCTACGTACTTACCTACCCACCTACCTACACACATACAGACATTAAACACAGTGCTTCGTTCTGCCGATGCCCGCGTGCAAGCGGCGAGCCGCCAGCGAACGTGGCTGTGTCTTGTGGGCCCAGCCGCGGGGGAGAACGAGCACAGGCCCAGGCAGGATTGCAGCACTGCGACGCGCAGTGCGCAGTTCAAGTCTTCAGCCTGGTGCCGCCTACCCGCCCCCCGCCCCTCCTCCCCCCCGCTTTATCCGCCCCCCCTCTGCTCCCCGCCTCTTTTCCCTGCTCCCTCCTCCCCACCACTGACGCCCCCCCTTTCATTTTCCTCACTCCCACGGGTGGCGCCTCGTTTTTTTATTAGTCGGGCCCCCCAGAGGTCCTAACCCTTTGCCCAGGGCCCGCAGTTCATCCTGAGTCGTTTTTCGACGGTCCTGGGGCCCGCCGAGGGCCCCTACAGGCCGAAGACGACGAAAACCGCCCGCCCGTTTTGTTGCAAGACGCTGGATGTATGGGTCCGTGCTTGGGAGAGCTAAGAACGTGCCCAGGGGGCTGACGTTGCGAGCCCAGGCGGAGCTGGCAGTGCCTGTCTTGCGCTTGGTCCTCCGTGCGGGACGCACAGGAGGCACATCAAATAAGAAACCGGCCTGCCAGCAGGTGCCCCAGCGCAAATGTCTGATCCACCGATGGCCCCAGGGACCCACGGCCCTGGGGGTGCTCCAAGACTTCTCATAGCAAGATGTCGTATCGTTCGAAAGAGAAGAACTGCATAAACATAAACTTTCGGAAATTCGCGCGGATTTCGTGGATCTGCGCTGGAACCCCTTGGCGGCACCTCTGGCGTCGCCCGTGGCGCGTTCCGCTCGCCAGGGAGGGGGGTCCAGCGCAGATCCAAGAAGTCCGTGCGGAGCTCCAAAAGTTTATGTTCACGCCGTCTTTTCTTCTTCTACTCGTCTGTGGCCCTTCTCTTCGGCGCGCGCTGGAGCCAGTGATCGCTGCAGACAGGGCCGTCTTGGAAGTGTGGGGGCCAGTCCGCCGTAGAAGTGGCTATTCCCGCAAGAGAGAATAGGAGCCAGAGCAAACGGAATGTGTAAGTCCGCGGGCGTCAAGTAGCCGAGGACAGTCAGACGCCGGTCAGCAAGCGGTGGGATGCACCAGAAGCGAAGTGAGGCACGGCAGTGAACAGAGCAAACAGAACACAGGCAGACAATGTGTTCCGCAACTCGATGAGGGGCGCGCGAGAGGAAAACAAATCGTCTGTGTCCGCTGTGGCGCCTTCCGGGGCCCACGGGCTCGGGGAACCGAAGCGCGCGCCGGACAGGCCTCGCCTGCGCCGCGGCGCTCGCCGGCGCCAGGGCGGCGGCTATCGGGGACGCCACGTGCGCCGAGGAGGATCGGCTACGCGCAAGAGTGTCCTTTCCCAGGAGTGACCTTTCGTATGGGCACACCAGGGTCC